TCCCAAACGAATTATTCACAAAAGTGGATATTTCCTGTTAGACGGAAAAATGCACGTCGTATTCAAGGAGCACGGATGACCTTGATAGAGAAAAACAAACTGTTGAAACAGTGAAACTGTGTTTTCTTCCTGTCTTTCCACTAAATTATCGTACTTTCGCATTTAATATTGACTTCGGGACACACTTCTTTGGAATGATTTTATTCAGCAAATGCGGTAGCAATATGTTTATCTGTACGCCTACCTGAATTATTTTCATCACAGCTATATCCCGTGTTACCTTTCTCACCTGGCTCCACGGTCGCACACAAGCTTTCAGATCTCCCTCACATGATCTCTTCCAAGACACTCTTAGACTAGTTGTTTCCCATTTGGGTTCCATTTGAGGGTGTGGTATACTGTGTCATTCACTGGTCTCTCTGTTTTCTTCAGGATACTTGTTGGGTAACAGGTACTTGGCTGGTTCGACTCCAAATTTCCTAGTTGCTTGCTCTGTCTGGTTAGCCATCCGATCTTGATCACTGAAACAATTAAGACAGCCTCTGAGGAAAATCTCAGGCTTGTTAGCAATTTTTTCCGTGACACGTGGTCAAGTCCGTGGACCATGTAGAAGCACTAATTTGACATTAGAGTTGAAGATCAGAATATTGTTCTTGATGCTGATTGCAGAGAAATTCCACACTGATTTTAGAGCCACGAATTTCCCTCTTGCCTTACCGATCCTGACTCTCCCCCCCACAGCTGAAATTATACTGCTTAAGAATGAAAGAAGTGACCTTGTTCAAACTCCCTGGCTGGCGCTTGGTGTGCGTCTTCATCACCTCTCCTTCCTCTGTGTTCCCCTAAAGTCTTGTATTCTCCGCACACCTCTTCAACCAATTCATTCGTTGTCGTCCGAAGATCTTTGACTTTCAATGACATTAGACATAAACAGTCCGCTAAATCCAGATCTTCTAAAGTCTTCTCGTCCGTTTACTATATACCTCTTCTCAATGATGGTGAACACTGAGTGTACGCATAATGAATGGGTTTGTTCGAACCAGCTTCCTGTTTGTTGGAAGCAACAATCCCGTTCATGGATTAGACGTTCGCTCGTTAACAGAAGACCGAAGCATTACGAACAGAAACCTTTTTAGTGTATTGATAATTACCAATTATGAAACATATGTTCAAGTTGCCGCGTAACTAACTTGTTATATTGGCTTATACTTGGTTGATCAATAAATCTTCGACCTACGCTCCATCTTTTAGTACCGCTTGCGTTGAAACCGAGTTGGTTATTACATAGGTACAACAGATAACAGTGATCACAACATATTGTACTGCACGCTACCCCTCCGACTAACAACTAAACACACACCTAAAAATTCCCCGGTGCACTATCAGTATAGGGACTATAAGAATGCCGATTGGGAATTCCTATCAAATATGCTGAGAAGTTCTGACTGGGAAGAATACTTCATCAACAATAACTTAGAAGTATCACTTGAGATTTTCTACAAAACAATTGGCTCGGCAAGAGACATAATCGCGCCCATAAAATCTGCTCCAAAGACACCAACTCCATTTATAGACCGCAAAACGCGACTAAAACTACAGAAATTGAGAAGGAAATACCATGTATTTAAGGAATTTAATGCGTTAAACCAAAGACATGAAGCTCTTAAACTGCTCGAAGAGAAACACAAAATGATGTCACAACTTGAAGAAAATAAAGCGCTTGTGGGTAACTCCAAAACTCAGGAACTTTGTAGGATATTGCAGAAACGTCTAAAAAGCAGTAAAGACAGTACTGTAAGCAGCTTGGAACATATGGGTATAATATACAATGATCCCCAGGTTATAAGTGAACTCCTCAGTGAGTGGTTTTGCAATGACGCCAGAGTGCACCCGACCCCAAATTTCCAAATGACCTGCAAAAGTAACCACAAATTAGGCGAAATAGACTTTAATATACAAAATATAGACTCAGCGATTAAGACTTTGAAGTCTAATGGTAGTACTGGGACAGATGACATACCATCTGTCATGTACAAAAACGGTAGCACGGAAATGGTAGTCTTGTTACTTAGAATATTTACTCTCTCTTTGGAAACTGGAACTTATCCTGAAGTGTGGAAAACCAAATACATATAACCTAAGCACAAATCAGGGGCCAAAACCAGTGTATGCAACTATCAACCTATCAATATAACACCGGTAATATCCCGAATGATGGAGAAAGTGGTTAAAGACCAAGTGTCAGACAACTTACTAGAACATGAACTTATCAATCCATCACAACACGGATTTCTCAAAAAGAGATCATGTGTGACCTGTCACATAGACTTTTTCAATGAAGTTACACGAAGTAGGGACAACAGAGAACTAGTAATTGTACTATATTTCGATATAACAAAAGCCTTCGACAGAGTTCCCCATAATCTGCTAGTAAGCAGGTTATGCTCACTAGGGATATGTGATCCTCTCCTGAGCTGGATAAAATCATTTCTCTGTGGCCGAAGTCAGACAACGAAAGTTGGCTCCATAATCTCAAGGCCTAAACCAGTAAGTAGTGGTGTGATCCAGGGAAGTGTATTAGGCCCACTCTTATTCATAATATATATAAACAGTATCTGTGAATGCTTTAGTGTAGGTAAACCAATACTATATGCAGATGACTTAAAAGTGACGTGTAAATGCAAGAACACAGATCTTGGAATAACAGTAAACGCCATGCAGCAAGAATTAGAAAAAATGGATAGATGGTGTGACACCTGGCAACTCCAATTTAATGTCGAAAAATGTGGCTAGCTCTGCATAGGTTGCAACAATTTAGAACTTGACCTGACAATTCGAGGCCATGCACCTCTACGACTGGAATCTGTACTGGACCTATGGCTGAAATATTCACATAACTTATCATTTTCTGAACATATCTCCAAAAAAGTGTCAATGTCACGCAGACTTATCGGATTTCTACTCAGGAACTTCTACAGAAATGAGTCTAGAATTCTGTTGTACAAGGTTTGTGTGCGTCCTTTATTTGATTATTGTTCATTCATGTATAGAAGCATACGCATAGAGGACAAATTGAAAGTCGAGGGAGTGCAGAGGTACTTCACGTTAAAATTACTCGGAACCGAAAATTGTGCGAACTACTCCACTAGATGTGATACCCTAGGACTAGAAACACTATGGCTAAGACGCCTGAGACTAAACTTGACACTTTACTATAAGCTTCTAAACCACTTAGTTTTTACCTCTACTAATGGCACTCGACTTTCAGATGACAATGGCTACAAACTAAGACACACTAAGGGTACAGTAGTTATCGAACAATGTAAAACAGCCACCAGGCAAAAGTTTTACTTGATTAGGTATGCACAGATATGGAATAAACTACCAATGGAAATGCGTCAAGCAAGTACATTGGCCTCCTTCAAAAAGGTGCTTAATGACAAACTACAAGAGTTTGCAAACGATAGTAGTTCTAGTTTCTATCTGAGAGCCTCCGAAATTATAGGTCCATTTAATGTATAAGCTTAAATACTACACCTGTTGTTTTTTGCCTATATTTATAATTCTAGATAAAACAATAACGGTTAAGATACGTATCCTCAAACAGACAAGAAATCTCGTTTGTAAAACTACTACCCAACACAATAAGTGGAATAAAATGGACATAAACCGACAACATGAAAAAGGTATAACTCACCACAACATCACATGGACAGATGTGCGCTCGTTGGGCACCATATATCCCTCACCAACTGCAACCCACCTTTCCTTAGACAATGTGATGAACTTATATCCATAATGTTGCTGAGCAGTTAATATTCTCAACTCCTGACGGAACAGCTGAAACTCATAAACCTTCCTCACGCTAAGAAAATACCCACAAGCAGTAGAAATCCATTAATTAATGCGTCCGAAGCTCATGTACTTACTCCCAACAATGACATTGCAGATTAAATGAGATAAACACATAACTGATTTCAAAATAACACATCAATGA